GATCCCGGCCGCGAAGGCTCGGTTCCAGACCAGGATTCGATGTCCCAGTGGCCCGCAGGTAAAGGCGTATTGGCGAAGTCTTGGGGCGGAGTTGCGGGTTTTGGAGAGCTCTGCACACATCAGCAGAGATTTGGGTCTGTCCTTCATGTCCTTACTGGATTTTAACCAAATTTCCGTGTATTTTTGGCAGCTCTTCGGAGTTAGCAGCTTATGATGGTGCTACCTCACGGTTTTATATGGTTCTGTTTGGGTTCTTTTTAGGAGGCAGGTTTAGTGGGAATGTGTTCACGTTTCCCCCCATTAGAAAGTCTTTACCTCATTTTTCTTAGCAATAACAGTCCCATACTATGAATGTACCTTAGTTTTTAAACATTCCTCTGATGAAAGTGGTTCTGCCTAGTTATTAGTTCTTACACATAATGCTGCAATAAAAATTCTCGTTCATTTTCTAAAAAGCATTACTGTAGGACACAACTTTGTTAATAAGAAATCACAACATAGCTTTCCCCAAAACACTGTACCAATGTACAGTCCCACCAGCATTGTGTGTTGGTGTTTACATTCCCACACCTGGCCAAATCTCCTAACATTTTTTATCTTTGCAAAACCAGTGATGAAAAATTGTATTTCTCTATTCTTTTAATTTTTATTTTTTTGGTGACTGAACAGTTTTCATTGGTTACTTGTTTTCTTTTGAGAATTAATTACTGGTTGTGGTGGGGGTTTTTTGGTGCTAATATAATTTTGTGTTATTCCTGCTGATTCAGCCACCATTCAGAATTAACAAAATATTATAGAATTAATAAATAACATTTTATAATAATAATTTCAGGTACTTTTAAAATTAAAGTTTTTATATTGAGATCATGACAGATTCACATGCGGTTGTAAGAAATTATGCAAAGAGATCCAATGTACCCATTACCCAGTTTTCCCCAAATTAAATACAATATCACAACCAGGATATTAGCATTGATACAGTCAAGGTAAGGAACATCTTCCATCATCACAGGGATCCCTCATGCTGTTCTTATTATAATCATACCCATTCTTCTATCCCTCTACCCCCTCCTTAACCCCAGACAACCATTAATCTGTTTCCATGTCTATAATAGTTTCATTTCAAGAATATAAGTGGAATCATACAGTATACAAGTGAAATCATACCTTTAAAATTGACTTTTTTCCACTCAGCATAATTCTCTGTGAGTTTATTCAGTTTATTGCATATATCAACAATTAGTTCCTTTTATTATTGAAAAGTAACCATTACACACAATGTAGAAAGATATAATTTTCTGAAAGGAACATCTGAAAGGGGTGTGAATAAAGCTGTTAAAACAGCTGAGTTTTTTCTTTATGTTATTGAAGGTAAATTGGTACAAATTCAAATTAGTGTTACAACTTTTGGATTTAAATGTAGACCTCATGGTAACCACAAACAAAATAGCTATAGATTATACAGAAAAGGACATGAGGTATGAATTTCAACATTACAACTAAAAAGTTAAATGTAAAAGAAGACAGTTATGCAGGAAATGAGGGGGAAAAGCTATAAAGCAAATAAAAAGCAAGTAGAAAATGACAGAAGTAGGTCTTTCCATATCAGCAATTATCTTAAAAGTAAATGGTTTGTACTCTAGAGTCAAAAGACAAAGATTGGAAAAGATAGAGAAATAGGACAGCAAGGTGGAAACCTCCTCCAAAAACACAAAAAAGAGGAAAATATAGCAAATGCAACTAGACTTGAAAACAATCTAGATATCAAAATAGATTTCCCTATATCTGAGGGAGAAGAGGGGACCACACAGAAAAAGGTGAGGCAGCAAAGCCAAGATTGAGAGGGACACAAACTCTCCCCCCACATCAGCCCACAGGCAGGAGAAAGAGAAATGGAGCAGGCAGGGGGTAGGAACCCAGGAGCACTTCCCACCTGGCCCTGGAGATCTGCTCTGGGAGTACAAGCCCACATTACATTGGGTTCTGGTGATTAGCAGGGCTGGACATCAGGGACAGGCAGAACACTCTGGGAGACTGAGACTCCAGCCAGTGTGGAGGCTAGGCATGCTCTGCCGGGCCTGAGAACCAAAGCAAAGGTGGCAATTTGAAAGACTTGACAGAAGTGGGAGGGGTACCAGGGGAGCAAGGGTTGGATGGAACTCTCTGCTCAGGAGACAGGGCAGGTGGAAGATACCTCCCTAGCCCTTCCCCAGCTCAAAAGTCTGGGAACTCTTGGAACCCCAGTCACTCCATCCCCCTTGCTACCAAGGCAGCCCTGAGGCTCCTTCCTGTATGCACTGCTGGGAGCCAACCCATTTGACTCAGTGGCAGTATCAGACTTTGCTGCCAGGCAGGCAGAGGGTGGCCCCACCAAGAACAAGCTCTGCAGAGATTCCTGAACTGATCATGAAGGCAGCAGCAGAATTAAATTGCCTGCACAGACTTACACCACTACAAAATCTATACAGAAAGGCAGCCCTGTTGGTGGCATGCCAATAGCAAGGGACCCTGCAAAAGAACCAGGTACTAGAGAATAAAGAATGTTAAGCTTCTGGGCATCACAGCAATCCCTCTTAATAAAACTATTACTCTACAGGCCAGAAAGCAAACAAAGGAAGAAATGTAGAAACCCTGACGAAATGAGTGGGCAGAGAAATGTGATCCAAACAAAAGTACAAGACAAAACCCCATGAAGAGGGCTAAAGGAAACAGAAATCACCGATCTTCTTGATAAAGATTTCAAAATAAAGTCATAAACATGCTCACAGATTTACAGAGAAGTATTCAAGATCAGGGAGGATTTCAACAAAGAAATAGAAAACTTGGAAAAGAGCCACTCAGAGCTGAAGAATACAGTATTTGAAAGAAAACATACAATGGAGGGACTTAAAAGTAGGTTAGAACATGTAGAGGAGATAGTAAATGAAATGGAAATTAGAGAATATGAAAATAAAGAAGCTGAGGAACAGAGAGAGAAAAAAAAAACCTCTAGGAGAGAAAGACTGATAAGAGAGTTATGTGACCAATCCAAATGAAATATTTGCATAATAGGGGGACCAGAATGAGAAGAGAGAAACAAAGAGTTAGAAAGTCTCTTTAAGGAATTAATTGTTGAAAACTTTGCCAATCTGGGGAAGAAAATAGACACTCAGGTCATGGAAGCACAGATATCCCCTAACAAAAGGAAGCCCAGGAAGATAACACCAAGACATAATAATTAAAATGGCAAAGATCAAAGATAAGAGAGTTTTGAAAGCAGCCAGAGAAAGAGAAAAAAGATTACTTATAAAGGAAATGCCATCATGCTATCAGCAGACTTCTCAAAAGAAACTCTACAGGCTAGAAGGGAATGGCATGATATACTTTATGTACTGAAACAGAGGACCTCCAGCCAAGAATCCTATGCCTGGCAACATAATCATTTAATTTGAAGCTGGGATTAAACAATTTCCAGATAAACAAAACTTGAAGGAATTTGCCACCGTCAAGCCAGACTTAGAGGATATGTTAAAGAGACTGCTGTAGTTGGATATAACCCCAAGGCTAAGTAGCTTTCACCAGTGAAAATAGACCAACTAATCAGCAAACAATTATAAAATTAAAACAAAATAAGAGAAGCAAAATCAACTATACACAACATCAGTCAAGGGATACACACAAAGTAAAGATTATTATATCTAATGGAAAAAAGGGAGGAGGGGGAGGGGGAGGAAGAAGGGGGAAGGAGGAGAAGGAGTAGGAAATAAGAGTAATCAGCAATTTAAAATAGACTATTATATAGTGAGGAAGCTATCCTTGAACCTTTAGTAACCACAGAAGTAAAACCTACAATAAATACACATATACACAAAAGTAAATGAATTGAAAAAAAAGAGAAATCCAATTACAACAGTAAAGAAAACCATCTATAAAAAGAGAAAAGCATAAGAGAGGAAAAAGGAACAGATAGGAGCTATCAAAAACAGCTAGAAAACAATAAAATGGCAATAAGTATATACCTACCAATAATCACCATAAATGTAAATGAACTGAGTGAGCCAATCAAAAGTCATAGAGTGGCAGAATGGATAAGGAAACAAGACCCATCTATATGCTGGATACAAGAGACTCATTTCAGACCCAAAGACATACACAGACTAAATGTAAAGGGATGGAAAAAGATATTTCATGCAAATAATATGGAGAAAAAAGCAGGAGTAGCAGTACTTAGACAAAACAGATTTCAAAACAAAGAAAGTAATGAGACAAAGAAGTATATTGGATAATGATAAAGGGGTCAACCCAACAAGAGTATATAACCATTATAAATATCTATGCACCCAATATAAGAGCACCTAAATATATAAAACAAAAACTAACAGAATTAAAGGGAGAAATAGACTGCAACTCATTCATTTTTTTCACACCACTCACTTCGACAGATCAACCAGACAGAAAATAAAGAGGGAAAAGGAGGCAGTGAACAATACATTAGATCAAATTGATTAAACAGATATCTATAGAACATTCCACCCAAAAGCAGCAGGATATACTTTCTTTTCAAGCATACATGGAACATTTTCCATAATAGATCACATACTAGGCCACAAAAACAGTCTCAGTAAATTTTAAAAGACTGAAGTTATATCAAGCAGCTTCTCAAACCACAATGGTATGAAATTAGAAATAAATTACACAAAGAAAACAAAAAGACCTACAAACACATGAAGGCTAAACAACATGCTTCTAAATAATCA